TGTTGTCCAAAGGTTGAATTGTGTGGCAGAGGTCAAATTGAGAGCTGACCTCCCAGCAAACTTGATCATTGAATGGCAGGATGATTTAATTGCAGGAGGTCAAATTGCAAGATACCACCTGTATATACATCTTGTTTTATTGAAAATTTTGAGTTTCATCATATGGACTTTTTGATTCTTTGATATAATTTTGTGTGTACAGTATAATCGTTTGTGACATGTTCGACTATATATTCGAGAAATTATAAACAAATCAATATATTCTCACCAATTCATCGTAATCCTCTGGCAAATCCGCGGAGTCTCCCCAAGGCAGCAGAACGAGTTGGCTGTAAGAGTGAATGTCATAGAACGCAGCAATGGCAGCGCTATTCTCCAAGATGTAATCAGAAACGGCCTTCACTTCGGATTCAGAGAATGGAGAAGCTCCGTGGTAAATTTCTGAGCATGGATCATCACTCGTTCCGGGTCCTGAAAATTTTATACCATATAAAAAATATGCAATATCTTGGAAGCAATGCATATTTGGCCTGCTGGACGCGATCACGCGATGTACAGCTAGTGACATCTATGTGTGTGAGTAACAACGTGAGACGCTTGCTTCTAATTTTTTTCTGATAGGGCCCGACTCACTATATCAATAAGAATTTTGAAGGGTCTTCAATGCTGTAGTACTTTTCATGTCGCATAGGCAAATAATCTAAAAATTTTGGCTTCTCGAAACTGGAAGAAGTTTGGTTAGAAAAATATTGTATTCCTAGTGAAATTTGTATTTTGTAATTCAGATATTCGATGGTTTGACTGCAGGAACAATTTTTCTTTCAGAAAAAGCAAAGAATCATCGATATAGCGAAAGAAACCGGACGACTGTGAATTTTTGTGTATATAGACCATAACTTTTTCTTAGCTTGCATTAAATATTTTTGGGAAATCTAGACTTACGTTACAAATCAACCGCAAGTGAGATTCTGCGCGAAGTCTGATGCCATTTTCGTACAGTACTGGATATTTTTCCTTTCTCCTTCGAAAGTGACCGATTATTTTATTTTTTGTATGTACTGTACTAGCTAAGATGCCAAAAAATAAAATAATCTGTCGCTTATCTAATTTTCAAATTTTCGACGAAAGACGCACATAGAATTAAGAAAATTTAACCCTTATAAAAACAGTAGGCGACATTTATTTAAATTGCATTCCCTGATTAAATTTTCTGCTGAAAGAATTACAGTTGTAGATCATAATTTTTTTTGATCTCATGTTTTTTTCTGCACTTTGAAGAAATCACCGGAATGACTGTATTTCTTATCCCGAATCATGGTTTAACTATTTAATTTTCTTTTTTTTTCCAAGAATAGAAGAAAATCATTATAGAGACAAGATTTTGCAAAAGTGGAGGATTTTGAAGCGACGTCATTGATTTTCTTTCTGCAAAGGCAATTATTATTTCTTCGTCGTAGATTCGCCATTGTGCATTTCCGACTCAAAAATGCTTCATTTATATTTGCAAGATGGATCCTATATAGTACACAATTTTGGCCGGAAGAATGATGAAATTACTTCTTGATATACAGTACACTACAAAAAAAAGAAAGAAATCGAACCGCTGAAAAAATTCCTTCTTGATATTCTTCCTGTTTCGTGCAATTGGGAAAATAATTGAATCGTCGAGAGAATGATATGTTCCAAGTGAGCAATCAAATAATTTCCGCATTGCTGGAGAAAAGACTTTATGATGGAATTTGTTTTATTATTCAATTGAACATGACTTCAGTGAAGAATTTCGCCTATTCTTTCGGTAAAGGAATAAATCTGCGTCCTTTCTTTGAAAATGGTAGACCAAAATGCAGAAAGATTAGGACTATTTAGAAAATGTTCGTCTGATTTTATTTCTAGTTCCAGAGAAAATTACGAATAAATCTTGGAAAAGATAACTTTATCGCTATTATTTTTTGAAAATGGCACATCGTAATCCTGGAAAACTCGAATTTCACCTCTCTTATATTGAGCAAGCGAAAGCTTTCGCAAAATTGATGAACTTCCATCAGTACTAATACTTTATATATTCTACTACAGTATTACTGTTTAGGTCTCATAAAAATTCTTTAATTTGGTTTAGCACCATTTTATGTATCCGGAACATCGCTAGACTACTTTTCTAAAAAGAAATGCAGCAGTTTTAGCTGTGCAAAATGAAAAAGATCAAGTTCACCTCCAAAAGATGCATCCCAATTTCTGTTGGGGTCAGCTCCAAAGCATCCATTGTCATTGGGGGACCTGGTTTTTCTCCACAACCTGTCCTGAAGTTCAGAATATAAAGTTTGGATTGTTAGAAAAAGGTCAATGGACCCCCTTTTTGTGTCACGATTATGGACTTACGTTGGTGTGAGTGTAAGCAACGCCATCTGGATTCACCACTGGCACAAAGTGGAAATCAAACTCATCCAAGACACTTGCATATTCAGGGTTGTTGAGTATTTCATTGAAGATCCAAGTGGTGGTTGCTGAAGTGATCCATTCTCTGGCATGGATTTCTGTCAAAACCATTAATTTTTGCAGTTTATTTTGTGATGAAACTGTGATTTACAAAGGCATGTATGTATTAAAATCAACTTGAAACAATTTTTTTGCAAGGTGGTACCTTTCAATAAAGTTATTTCTTTCAGATTACTCAGCTTTCAAACAAAACAAAAAACTGTGAGAATAGCAAGATAATCAATAAGAGCTAATTGATTATAGGCAGGTCTGATTTAAATATTTTTTCCAGTCATTAATTTTGAAAATCTTGTTACAATCAATTATTCATTATAAAAAAAATGTTTCCTCCCAGTCCCCAAAAGTTTGTTGCAGCAAGATTTTACTGTATTATAGGTTTGACGATAATTTATCTAGAACAATTGATTGTTCGTTGCTTGCGCAGTTTTCTCTTGTAATTGATTATAATATTGCAGAATTTCACGTACGTGATTCGATGAAAATGACAGTCTTCTCCAGATCAGACGGCTTGTTGATTCTCATCAGCCTGATTTCTCGGCCTTCGTAGGATTCACCGATTGATTGCAAGGTAACAATGTCTGGGAAGGCATCCCTCATTTCTTCGGTCCATGCCAAAATCTGCCATAGAAAGCAAAGGATGTAAAGATCATCAGCCTGATTTCTCGGCCTTCGTAGGATTCACCGATTGATTGCAAGGTAACAATGTCTGGGAAGGCATCCCTCATTTCTTCGGTCCATGCCAAAATCTGCCATAGAAAGCAAAGGATGTAAAGCATTAAATTCATAAATTATCTTAATTTTCAACAAATCTGACTCACATCTTCAAATTGATAATAGGCATCCCAGGTGAGTTTTGATCCAAGTTCAGCCACGGGCTGGGAATCGATCACACTGAAATAAAGGTTTTATTTGAGCTTATCTCATGAAATTTGATGAAAAATGTCTGCTTAATAAAAGTAGGTGAAGAAAAGGGACATATTTTCCACGTAAAACACGTAAAAATACAGTATCATGATAAAGTAAAATGCAATTGTGATGCGTTCTCTTGACTATGGATTATTCTCTCTTAATGTTTGCAATGGAAACTTTCAACCAGTACCTTATGTTTTTGAATTCAGCGAAGTCTCATTGCAACAATAATCCAATGGGACTGGTGGAGAATTGTTCACCAACATATTTTTACTATAAGATAAATTCCTTGAAGCATATATAGGACTGGAATTCTGTGGAAAATATGAGTTTAGAAAGTTGCAAAGATCTTCTGCAACAGATAATTGAAGACTTCTCTTTGATGAAGAGGGAAAATTTTGAAATACAGTCAACCTCGTCTAAGAGACTTAATTCATGCTACGGACAAGTCTGTTGAACAAAAAGTCTTTTAGACAAAATAAATTATCTAAAACTTAAAAATTTTAAATTGTCAACACTAATTTTAAACCATCAAAAGTCTGTTTGGTGGATTTTGTCTGTTGGGCAGGAGAAAAAACTGCTTGCAGAGCTGGTCTGTTTGACAAAAATCCCTTACATGAGAGGTCTGTTAGGCAGGGGATCACTGTACTGTACGCTCATCTTATACATAATTATATACAGTACAAAGGGAATGTTCTTTGCTTATATATTTGTACTACAAAGCATTTAAATTTCCTTTAGAAAAATTTAAACGTAGGATAAAGGAGGTGCCCCACAATTTGGCTAAAACCCATTGCCAGGCAAGGGTCAAATTGCAAAGCATTCAAATTGCAAGACAATTTTAAATGCAATGTTCTGTACATAAAATTTGAAATTTTGAGTCTGTCTGCAGGTTTAATTGTGGAGCAAGAGGTCAAATTGCAAGTTGATGTCCCAGCAATTTCAAATCTTGAATTGCGGGATGGCCAAATTGAGGGAAGGAAAATTGTAAGGTACCATCTGTATGTCCGAAATGTTAATCATCCCAGCCATTCATCCTAAAATATGTGTAAAGGCAGGCACATGTTTCTGAGTAAATTGAGCAACATTCTGCAACAAATGTATGCCATTTATTTACACATGATGGCATTGGTATGACTATGTTTTATTTTCTAGCCATATGATGGCAAAAAAGACAATAAATCACCTTTGAACATCTTTGATAAGCACCCTGTGTTCCATGCCAAGTCGAGCAGCCATTTTGGCAAATGCTTCTGTGGCATCTGGCTTCACCAAAATGTCGACGTCATTTCCAAGTTTTGATGGTTCACTCCAGAAATCCAACTAAGAAGAGATTGCGTGCCAAAAAAAGAGAATAAGTCAAATCCGATATTAAACAAATCAAAATATGAATTTTTTTCTGCTGTCCAGTTTTTTTTAAGGAGATGAAAGAAACCGTATTTTCAAATTGAACTTGCTTTTAGTCCATTTTTTTAAACATTTTTTTTTAGCCCCATAGCTAGGACAGTGTTTCCCAACCTTTTTGGGCCCGCAGGCCAACAATAAAAAATAAAAATTTGCAGACTGGCGAATTCCAAAAATTTTCTGTACACCTGCAAAGTTTCATAAAATGTTTGCAGAATCATTGAAGTTTTGCTTGACTCTTGTTAGACAGTAATTTACAAGAAAAATACAGGCAAGAATGTCACCAAACAATTGGAAAGGTGGGCTTGGAGACAGATTCTCCTGAATGAATGAAAAACTAAATTAATTTATTTCAGCAGTTGAACATTTTAAGTGCTATTAGGAGAAATAAGCCAACTTTTGTTTTAGGGTACTCTCCCTATGTTACAGAGGTTCTCTATACAACACATTTGTCTTTTGATCTCTTGGATTTTGTTATAGAGAGAGAGAGAGAGAGA